GCTTGATAACTTTTGCTGCTCATTTGTGAGTTTGTTGTTTGACTCAGCGCAGGTGTGTTTATGGAGGAACACCCCATAAGAGCGCAGGAGCGCTACCCCTTAGTAGCGCAGTGACGCTGTAGAATTTTGAGCTCGGTGTGGTCAGGTGTTTGAATCTGTCACTTCTTGGCTTCTTGGTTTCAGTGGTGTTAGTTGATCGCGATTCATAGATTCAGAAGCGGCGCAATGGACAGCAGCTGCGCAACCCGGCGCACGGTGCCTGTGATGCACATCACAGTCCCGGTTTGGACTCCACCTTCCCAGGACATGGTGGTGCCGAAGTTTGTGGAGAAAATTTTGTCGCAAAAGACAGAAATGGAGTTTCACCACTACGCAGCACACGACCTTGAGCTTTTGAAAGAAGTTTCTGTGCAGGGTCAGAAATTGCTGCTTTGCTTCCACAGGAAAATGTTCCTGAAGCGCTTGGAAGCCTTCTGCCTGACTGTGCGCTATGTTTCCAACCATGTGGGTCCTACAGAGCCCCGGACTATTCCCACACAGTTCTTGGCAGATGTCCCTTGCTCGGCGGCCGAGCATTCCTTTTCGGAGTTGCTTGCTATTACCGGCTACACCATTGCCAGGTTGCAGAACTTTCGCGCAGAACTGGCCTCCGCCATTCTGATCATTGAAACTGGAGCTGAGTTGTTTATGTGTGACCAGGAACTGTTCACTGTCATCGAAGAGTGCCATGTGATCTTCCAGGATTTGAAGGTCTGCGTGACCGGGCTGCTCCTGGATCCTCAATGTGGTTGGTATGGTGGGGCTCCAGTCACTGATTCAGCTTAGTAGCATCTTGTCATTCTGTGCGCTATAGTCAATTCGACCACACCGGCTGGTTACCGTGGAAGAGTGGCAGGTGAAAACGGCGTTGAATTTTTGAGAGTTTGTTGTTTCAGAGATTGGTGTGTCAGTGGGTTCTGGAAAATGTGTTTCTGAAACATGTTTGTCATTACTGTTGCTGCGCAATGCTTGGGATTTAAGAATGAAACCATGACTCTTTGGAGGAAACACACGGAGCGCATAGCATTTATGGTAAATCACTGCCATTGCCATAGAATACCGTAAAATAACGACTTTCCTGGATATGGCGCGTGCTGCTTTTTCTCACTGCGTCTTTCTTTGCGTTGAGACATGGCCCTGCAGCAGGGTAGGCCTGTGAGCACCAAACCAAAGACTGACTGAACATTTGCGCAAAACCAGAACCAGAGACAACAATTTTCGTGTTGATATTAATTTCAAAGTAGAACGCCACAGTACTTGGATGTTTTTTTGTATTTGCCCGGTAAACATGTCGCTCGCAGGGTCGTCGCAAGACCCAAGCCTGCCGTCTCCTGTCTCTTCAGAATGCGCCGAAGGCGCTAGGGATCTTGAAGATGATTCTGGAGTGCAGCTGCCATCAGATGTGGAGTCTGACCAATGCAACACTGGGCTCCGAAGTCATTGTAAGTGCAAGTTGCTGTGCTGCCAGCAATTTGATGAGTCAGCCGTCGAGATAGCAAGAACGGAGTTTTTGAAGGATGGGCACGTGAGGCAAGGCCAAGTCTTCTTGAAAGTGAAAGGCTTTGTTGATCAGCTCCCTTCCGACAAGGCCAAGATAGCCTGGTCAATAGATGGGAAAATGGTGTGCCGTCCCTTTTGGGAGTTTTACCACGCGACTGGCCACAAGGCCATTGATGAGATGGTGAAGCTGGCCAAGAATGGGCACAACAGCGTGCCAGAGAGAGGAGCAAGACTTCCACGAGAGAAACCAAAAATGGATGAAGCAGATCTTTGGTTTTTGGCAGTGTACCAGGGGCTGGCTGAGCCTACTCCAATGGAAGATGGTGGCTGCCACTTTGAAGAGCTGGCAGACCAAGCTGGGCAGCATGAGGTCATCAAAGACTTGAACCACCCCTTGTTGTCACTCTCACTTGGCATTTCAACAGAGAAGAATACCGTGGCCAAACGTTTTTTGAACCAGACCGATGTGGCTCTCTATGGCATGCCTATGAAACAGAGAAGGCTGGAGAGGAAAAGGTGTCGAGGGACACCTTCACAAAGGCTTTCAATCGGCACTGGAAGCGGATCCTGATTTTCAAAGGTGAAGGCCAGGGTGTTCGCTGCACTTTGTGCGCAGAGCTTGACCAGTCACGCTTGCAGTGCGTTTCCAAAAAGGAACGCCAGGAAATCGATTTGCAGAAATCCATGCATCTCAACAGAACAGACGCCGACAGATCTGTGAATGTGAGAGGAAACAAACTCTCCATGCAGCCATCCACTTATGAAGCCAAAAACAGCCAGACCGCAGCGATGAAGATATTAATAGACGGAATGGATCAGAGCAAATTCCGGGCACCCCGGAATTTGAAAGCCTCTGCAACCTTCAGCAGCATCACACGGCCTGCGCTGCACATGACGGGCTGCATTGCAATTGGACTATGTGAAGCATTCTATTGCATGGGCCCGGATTGCAAGAAGGACTCGAACATGAACGCAACGATCATCTCGCAGGTCCTGGAAAAGGCATGCCTGGCAGTGAACATGAAGGGCGGCAATCATTGCCTACCACGCCATTTGATCATTGCCGCTGACAATTGCACAAGAGAAACCAAGAACCAGTGGCTGGCAACTTATGGTGCATTTTTGGTAGCCAAAGGACACTTCGAATCAGTCGAGTTTCAGTTCATGCTCACAGGCCACACCAAAAACGAGCTTGACCAGCGCTTCAGCGCCATAGCCACTGTTCTACGCAAGGCTCCTGTCCTTGAAACACCTCAAGAGTTTGTGGAATACATGACCCACAACATTGCGCCTACCTTGGGCAGTGAGTTACACTGCGAAGTCATGAATGGGACCTGGGACTTCATAGCCTGGTTTAAAGAGTTGGGAATCCAGATGAAAGGCCTCACAGCTACTCATTTACAACCTGACTCGAACCATCTTTGGAGGTTCATGCTCCGGAAGCATGTGGAGGCTTCTGAAGTGGTGGAGTGTCACAACGCTGATTGGGAGAATCTGCCACAGGACCAGAACGACGTTGCGCTGGTGCTGAAGCAGTCTCTAACCTAAATGTTTGAAGGTTTCAGATTTTCTAGATTTGGTTTATAATTTTCTGTTTTTTGAAACTAGATCCTTGTCCTTTGATTTTGCTCCAGGTTCATCAGCTCAGCTGCGCCGTCGCAGCCTCCACAGTTGGTGATGCCGGCCAACTTGCATCGCAAGTTGGAACCAAGTCGTCTGCGTGCAGCTGAGCGCAGAGTTTGGTCTGAAGAGATGCTGAGTGACCTTCGCAAGACTGCGGCAGCCGTTGCAGCTGAGCCGTGGCGGCATTTTGCCGCACAGGCTTGGCTGGAACAATTGTGCGATGATAATGAAGCTCGACGTGCTTTAATTCCGCCGGAGCTTAGCTTGGTCTTCATGGACGGTGAATTTCAAGACCATTGTCTTCTACCAGATTTTGAAGACTTGTTCCTCGAGGACCCCAAGCCTCGTGTCGTGACGGTGGGGCCTGCTCCAGCCAATCGTGGCCGTGGCATGAAGCGGCCTGCAGCAGCTGCTGAAGACCCTGTGTCTATCAAAAGACCTGCTGCTGCTGCCGGGCGAGTTCCTTTGAGGCGACCCGCCGCAGCTGGTGAAGCCATTGCTGCAGCAAGTCGTGTTGAAGGTGAAGCAGAACGAGCGCCAGCAAATGCTGCAGGGATCTTCGCGAGGAAGCCTGGCAAAGCTGAGCCTGTGGATTCTGATCTGGATTAATCCGGAACATTGTCGTGTAGTTTTTCTTTGTGGGCCATCGTAATTATTGTAGGTTTGGGGCCACTCTGTAGTATTTAGAAGTAAAAAAGGTTGTCGCAAAACATTTTAATGTTGCAGCTTTGCACTTGGTCCTTGGGGGTTGAGGAAGTTACAGACACACACAGCCTTTTCTTAATAAGTGAAAGCCAAGCTAACTGTCACAGTGTACTGAAATTTGTTCAAGAACCGTGAATTTCCAAATTCAACATGTTCAAATTGTGCATTATAATACTATTTTGTAAGGGGCCTTCTCAGCAGCGCAATGTTGCGCTAAGCGCACTAAGTAGCGCGCTTTTACTAAGTAATCTTAAACCCTGCAGCAGAATCCCATAAACCTAAACCCGAAAAAGAGCCTAATCCAGCAAACCCGTCTCATTTGATCAAGCGATTGGTGTGCGCGCCGCATTGTGAACTCCCCAAGGCAGTCGAGCATTTTGGCTGTTCGAAGTGCCGAAGGAAAAGCCACGGCTGCGGCCGATGCCGCGAGTTTGCAGCCACCGGGTACAGTGGGTACTTCATCAGTGTGGACAACACTGTTTGCAAGTCACTCATTGAAGAAGTGGACTGAATCAGTCCTTTTTTGCATTTGACCAAGTTGATGACTTTTTTAGAGCGCACTGAAAGAAGAACCTTCGGAGTGCAAAAATAGTTGGGTCCTCTGCGCCTGCCGGCGTGAAAGTATTTCCAAGAGAAAGCAATTGCATGACCTCTTACGGCAGATATTTTTGTGAGATTTTTTACGGCAGAGAGTTTGGGCATATCATTGTTTTGATTTTTGACAGTTGAATTTTCACCAGCAGCGTTCTGGCCAAGAAAACACGACCAGTGTGTAAGACTTGCTTGCTGCTGAACAGCCATGAAAAAACCTGCTGCTGCGCCTCAGAAAGCCACTGCCAAGTCGGGAAAGAAGACCGTTGCGAAATCCAAAGCGCAGCCTGGTGGCACCACGACCAGGCACCGCAAGCCGGGATCTTTGACGAATGACCGCGACCAGACTTACTCGCAATACTTGGATGAATTGTTCGAAGAGTGGCGCGACTACAAGCACTTCACGGCCAGCTTCAAGGACAAAGGACCTGATGGCAAGTAACTTTGCTCGGCAGATTGTGCTAAAAATGCGAGTGCTAAATGAGAGCTTGCTTTTTTTGAAGACAGGAAGCCAACGTCGTGCTCAGGTACCGTCCTTGCGCAGTGGAGTCGTGGAAGGCCTTCAAGACTGGGCGAGTCAGGGACAACGGCTGGTTCCAGCACTGTGGCCGCTGGCGGTGGATGGCCCCTGAAGATGACGCAGACAACTAGCTGACGGCTGACTGAGCAGTCTGACAGTTTTTTTGTAGCCTAGCTCGGCCTTGAAGCCAGACTCAGAGCTCGTCAAGCAGCAAAACTGATGTGTTTTTTTGGTGGCCGATGTGCTGGAGCTGGCACAGTGAGGCTCCAGAGACTTAAGTTGCTCACTAGCTGACTGGTAACAGTTGCTTCTCAAAAGTCCAGGGTCAGACAGTAGAATGCCAGAGAGGAAAGCTAAGAAACGCAAACCCTAAACCCTAAACGTCTCGGCAGAAATTTTGCGAGAGTTTTGTTTACTTTGCACAGTATGTTTTTTTCACAGGATCTTGGTAGTGAAGGAAGCAAACAACTTGGGATTTCCCACGGATTCCCTGGAATCCTTGAGATCTCTGGCCTGGGTTTCGCAAACCCAAGATCCCAAGGATTCCATGGAAACCATGGGAAATCCAGTCAGTTTGTTGGACGCCTGTGAACTTGACCTCGCGAAACGCAGAGGTGATTTCACAAGAAAGCTCTGTAAAGCAGGTTTTCCACATGGATTCCATGGAAACAGTGTGATCTCAGCTTCTTGAAACGCAGGGAGGACTTCACAGGAACAGTATCCTTTTTACTAAGAACTCAGTCCACTAAGTTGGCGTGAGTCAGATCTGAACCATCTTCTCTAGGCTTCAGGGTAGCTAACTCTGGGCAGCTAAGCCAATCACACAGTGACAGACTCAGAGTGTAAGCTAACTGTCAGGTCACTGTTTCTGTAAGCTAGCTAGCTCCAGTTCTATGATAAGCTGTTCTGGAGAAAGGCCACTAAGTTTTTAGAATCCCAGAAGCCGAGTGCAGCAATGTCAGCGGATGAGAGCTCCCGATCTCGCTCGCCCACTATATCTCCAAGGAGACGATATGCTGCTGCTAGAACTTTGAAGATCATGTCCGGCAGACGCGCCTTACTGGAAGTGAAGGAGGAACCAGCTCCTGAATGCCCTGCCTCAGAACCTGCCGGCCTGTCAGAGATGCCCCAGGATGACTCCGTGCCAGCTCCAGGTACAGCTTTACTCCAACCAAAAGAACAACTAGACCCAGTGGATCCTTTGGGCGCAAGGACAGCAGACGGTGAAGAAGTTTGTCAAGCTCCAGAGGCTCAGCCTACACCAGCCACGCCGACTGTTGCTGATTCTACTGGGCAAAGTGGTCCCTCTGAGCAGCCTACTGTAGTGCCAGCCCGTTTTCCTATGGCTGCCCAACCAGAAGCGCCTAGACGGCGCCGAGGCAACCGAGGTGGTATAAATGTAGTGTTCTGGAACCACTTCCACTTGCTGAAGCGCAATTGGCCATGGTGAAAATGAACGGTGTTCGGGATCTGATTCAGTTTCTGTGCAGTTGTATCAGAGCTATCGGGACTTTACTTATATTATGTTCCTATATGATAAATAATATATAGGTTGTGTCATGTTTAAGTAGCAGCGCAAGAGCGCTTTTGGGGGATAGGAGCTGCCTTTTAGGCGCTACCCTTTGGGGGATATGGTGCACTCTGCTGTCAACCCACCTTTGTTTCACATTGCCTTGAAGCGGATCAATTTTTCTGGTCCCCAGTGACTTTTTTGCTGAGATCATGGCAGACCCTGGGCCAGATGATGATGTGGTGATTGTGGAGGACTTCGATGACTGTCCAGTGCGGAAAGCGCTGGTGGCGAAGTTGGCTTCTGCTCTGGAGAAACATCCTGGCGGGCCTGCATCCTACTTGGCTGCCCATTTGCAGAATGATGGCGAGAAGCAGAACTTCGTGAACTGGCTATGGAAAAGCTTTCCGGAACGTGATGATGTTTGCTATCATCACTCAGCAGACATTCCATGGGTCGCAGAACAACAGCTGGCGCAAACCCCCCCAGTGGCCATTCACATCGCTTGCTTTGGCTGGGAGGACGGCTGTGGCATGAAGCCACCGCCGGGGAAAGATTTGACATTACAGCTGGTGGAATGGTATTTGAAGGATGGGTTCATCAGCTCTGGGGAAGTGCTTCTGGTGTCACAACCTCAGGCTTTGGCCGCATCAAGTCTTACTGCCCCTTGGACTGGTGATTTGAAGCCCTGCAGTGTGGGCTACATCAAGGGCAGAGCTCGCATGACAGCGCTGCTGGCAATCCTTCACGTGATCTATAGTGATGAAACAGGCATGGATTTGACTCCGTGCCAGAAGTTCATGGAGAGTGTGAATTTGATATGGGTACAACACCTCAGGCAGGCTACCAAGGAAGACGAAGTCCTGTGCAACCTGAAAATGAGCTTGCGCGGTAGCCTGAGGAAAGCAGCTAACGTAGTGCAGATGGCTTCGATGGTGAGAAGACTCATGCAGGAGGGCTCCACCGACTATGGTTCCTTTGTGAGACGCTTCAATTCCCAGACTGTCCCTGCCTACCAGATCCGAGGCCGCAAGGCCACGGCTTTGAAGCTCCTCTTTGAATCGGCGCCGAAGGACAACTTTTTTATAGGGTTCATATTGTTATTTTCTAATTGTTTTAAGTATTTTGTTGCAGAAGATATCACCCATCTATTTTGCAGGATGTGCTGGATGCTGTGCTGGACCACGTTGGAGCTCTGGGTTGGCCAGATTGCGCGTGGACGGAGGAGAACCTTAGCAGCAAGCGCCTTTTTCCAGGGCACCAGTTCCCATCAAGATCGAGGAAGTGGATGGCCAGACTCAAGGTTTCTGATGATTCTCTTCGGCTGATGGCCACAAGGGTGCATTGGGTGAGGGAAAAAGCTCACCAGGCGAACCTTGGCAAGGGTAAGATGGATGGTGCTTCGATGGAAGCAGTGGCGGAGAAGGCAGCCGCCTTGCATGCTTTGGCTTTGGAGTTTTGCAGCGAGCACCCTGTTCCACTCGAGACTGTCAAGCAGCGTGTTTTGACTGAATGGTCTCAGGGGTGTGAGCGCATTGATTGCGAGATCTCTGCCGCCTTGTTGGAGAAGTCCGATAGTTTCCAGATAGCTCAGCAGATGCCTTGCTTCAAAAGTCTGCTGGAGGATTCATTGTTCAGGACTCCAGTCAGTTCTGCTCAGGAGGCTTGTATGGCTTCCATGCAAATCGATTCAAAGCAGAATGTGTTTTTCATACGGCTGTGCAAGCAAAACAAAAACAACTTACAAATAATTGTTCTTGATCATAACCATTATTATAACAATGCTCAAAAAACATAACAATGAAATCCTTTTCATGCGCAGTTGGATTTGCGCGATGCCTTGAAGAAGGACGAATATGACCATTTGATCAAGAAGATGGACTACGATCAGAAGGTCTTTGAAATCTGGAGACAAAAATGTACTTCAGTGAGCGCAGCCAGGACACATGCCCGCCAGGAGCATTTAGTGTCTCAGCACCGCCAGCTGCAGGAATCAGCCGAGCACTTCGTGGAGGGATGCGTGCGCCTGCTGTGCTGGGAAAATTCCAAGGGATCTGACACCTTGCTGCCGCAGATCCTGGCCTTCAGGATGGAAGTGATGAAGAAGCTCCGAAACAGTGGCATTGTTGCAGAAGTGCCGACCGTGGTTCTCATGAATTGGACGGCGCCATGCTTGCTGCCAAGTGCCAGGCAACGGGATCACAGCAACGTGCTGGCCTGGGCGTTGCATGACAACGTCAACAGTGTGGGCGTTGTTTTCTCCCCGACGTTCAGCTACAACAGGGGGAAGACCTTTCTCGAAGAACACACCGGCTACGAGATGCTGCTCCAGGGTGGCCATAACCTGGACCACCAGTTTTCCCTCATCTTCAGTGACCGGTGCGATCAAAGAGATTCACGCCCACTTGTCTACCCTGCAAGGTTTGCTTTTCCAGGCCATGTTGTCGACCTGTCCAAGAGCAATGCTTTCTTCGCCTCGGAACTGCGCAAGTCAGGGCGCACAGATGCCGTGAAGCAATTGCCTGCCAAGGAGCTCAAAGAAATGGAGGATATGGCAGATGATTCATTGCCAAGCTCGACTTCCGCGAACTTTGTTTCAGGGGCTGCGAAACATTGCCAGATGGGGCAACCAGCAGCGGAGGAGATCTTGAAGAAGTTGTTTGCTGGCACAGAGTTCGAGAATGCCCCTGCAATCCTCATTTTGGACCTATTTCCAAGGGTGGGTGATTTTTGCCATGCTTTTTGCAAGCTGCGGTCAAACACCAATGTGGGGGCACAGCTCTTCTATGTTGGGGTAGCTGAAAAAGCCAAAGATCAGGAATGGCTGCGCGCAAGCCTTTTGGATGAGCTGGTGGAAAAGCTCAAGCAAGGCCAGTTTCAAATCCCTGGCGCACGGCCCTTCCAGCATGATGTTCCAGGTGATCTCCTTGAAGCGCTTCCAGCTTGACCGATCATGAACACCTTGGTGACAGTGGGTGATGGAGAATTTCGCAAGCTTGTCATCCCGCAGGGTTTGGTCAAGAAGTGGCGCACCGATGAAGACTTTGGTGATGCGTTTGGAACTTGGCTGGATACCTTCTGCGAGAAATACAGCATTGCAGAAGATGCGGATACCCAGGACAAGCCAAATAAAAGGGCAATCGAAGATGGTGGCTCTAGCAGTGAGCCTGGTCCTTCTCCCAAGAAGGTCAAGATTGAAGAGGTGGCTGCTGAGTTCATCTTGGCGAATGACAAGGTGGCAGAGACTTTGCTACTGGAGGCAAAGCTCTCAGGAAAGGACAGTCTCAGCTTTCAAATTCGCACAGGGCATCAGCTCTACTTGGTCAATAACACAGGGCAAGAAATCTCTTTGAAACCTACCACGCCGCTGGTGGGCTTTGGTCGCGGGACCTTCAAGCTGCTCAAGGAGAACGAGACCCTTCCAGAGAAGGCGATCGTGTTTGATGTGACTGTGCCAGATGCGCTGCTTTCATTGAATGGCGTGGTCAGCACGGTGTCGGAGCTGGTGGCCAAGCAGCGTGAGAGTAAGCCAGAAGCTCAGGTGTCGTACCACAAGGCGACTATGATTGCAGAGAAGCCTGGTCAGTTTGAGTTCAAAATGACCCACAAGGTGGCCTTCATCCCCCCACCAAGAATGCGCCAGATGCGGAAGCAAGCAAGGGGAAAGAAGAGCCGGTCACTGCTGCTAACATCGCCTCACGAGAGCTTGCCAGCACATACACTGGCATGCATTCGGTCTCCATTGTGTGGCACACGAAATGGACGGTCAAGGGGTTGCAGCCGATCAAGCCCTTCCTCCACTTGACGAAGAAGCTTGCCCTCTCTCCAGGGCAATGTTGCAAACTGAGAGCGTGATACTTTAGTTTTGGCTGGGGAGAACAGACTGTTCCCTGCTGTAGTGCTCAGTGGCAAGGGAACCAAACTCCTGACAGGATCTTAAAGGAATCTTTTACTTTTAGTTAGTTTTGCGTTTGGATTTGGAACGGAATAATAGAATAATATACTATATGTATCTTGAAAAAAGGTTCTGTGGATGATTCGCCCCACTACTGGGAGGGAACTGCGGCGGGTATTGTCCAGCTTGCAAGGCAAGCGTTGAGTCTGCTTTCAAAGTGGAAAACTGTTATGCGGCAGGTCAGTAAATGCCAGTGCAGTCACACAAACAATTGCCAGCGTTGTGAAACACATTCCTCCAATGGTGCATTTCATTTGACAAGGAACGTTAATAACGTTTACTAGTAGTTTCATGCCAGAATAACAGCGCATCCCTGCGCTTAGCCCACAAGCCGTTTTACAGGGGTTCCCATATTGCAGTTCATACTCAAGGCAATGTCACGGAAGCATCCCGTTCAAGTGTTACAAAAAAGTTTTCATTGGCAGTTT